ACAGTTCAGTCGGATCTCAAGGAAGAGAACGGAACAAAAAATCCTTCAGGTCGAGCAGTGAATTGCAACTTTATTTTTTTGATTTTTTTGATTTGCATATTTATTGTTTGGCATTTGTTGGGTTCTATAAAAGAAGAGTTATTGTTGCTGCTGTTCTGATCTTCTGCTCTTTAGTGGGCGTCATCCAATGACATGAAGTGTTTCGTCTTTAGCCTCTCAAACTCACTCACCAGGGTCCGTCTCCACGCAGACCAGACTGCCTCTGGTCAGTTTCTCCAACACCTGATAACACACACACACACACTTCTCCAGCTGTGGTGGGGCAGCAGTGGCCACCAAAAGGCTCTGGATTTGATACCACCCTGTCCACAAATCCCAGGTTGGGTTGCGTTGGGAATGACATCAGGAATGACGTCAGATGTAAAAACTCCTGCTCTGGTCACCGCCGCTGAAAAGTGATTTCTTGTGTTTGAGGTCAGCCCTGGTCATTAAATTATTCTTATACAAACAGCAGCATTTGAAATATTTAAATGTAGACTAAAAACAGATTCACATCCTACTTGACACTGTACCTGGTTAGAGGTCTGCTGGTCCAAGGAACTAGCTGCACGATGATGTGTTCGCAGTTGTTACTTGTATTTCAGACATTTCTGTGAATAAATTTGTTTCTGAAGCCTATGGACAGACTTTTTGGTTCAGCCGTAGTGTCTGTAACTACTCCGGTCCAACGACTGTAACGCATCCTGTAATTCCAGCTGTGTCATACAGGACGCACATTGTCCCCACAGTGATTTGTGGGACGGCTTTCGTGACAGAACTATGTCCGGTTTCTCTCAGCCTCTGTAGACACTGTCAATGGTGCGAAGTTACTGATTTCACTTCCTGACTGCTAACAGCTATTTGTGTTGTTGTCGTTGTTGTTTTATCGCTGTGGAACCTCACTGTGCCCAGCAGGAGATTCCACTCAGTTTACTCAGAGTGATTAGAGGAGTGGCTGTGAGAATTCCCATGGAAGTGGGAATAACTCTGTCATTTCAAAACAACGTTAAAAAAATGAAATACACATGTACAAAGTAAATTAAAGCTAACAACATAGTTGTTTGGTATTTCTTTACACAGAAAGAAGAACAATGTGAAGAAAATTTTACAACCAGTGAGTCAGGGTTCACCCACTCTCTTTTTATATGTAGTACATGCACAGATGTGACCTTTAACCTCCTCTCCCAAGACTTTTGACCCCTGAGGTGTTATGCTGGGATTGGTAGTCAGGATAAGGACCTTTAACCTTCTCTCCCAAGACCTTTGACCCCTGAGGTGTTAGGGTGATGCTGGTATTGGTAGTCAGGATAACGATCATCCAAACAAATTTATCCACGGTGGATGCATTTTTAGTCGCAAAACTAATTGGAACGATAAAAAAAAAAAAGGAGATTAAATTCAACGGTATGACGACTGGTTTGATTCCCAGTTCTGGCAGATCTGTGATGTACTGTTCCTTGTCTGAAGTTGTCGATCCCTCTTCCACCCTCACTGCACCCCTCCTTACCCCCCACCCTTAGAAAAAGAAAAAAAACAGAACTGTTCGGACACCACATCAAGGTTCTTCTCCTTCCATTCATCTTCCGGGGGTGTCCTCAGTTGACACAGCAGTTCAAAGGGGACATCTTGTCCAGTTTCCAGTTTGGGCACAAAGGCTTTGACCCTTGTTGTGTGAAGAGTGTGATTATGGGTCAGGGGGCCAGGCTGTGGTTAGTTATTTAATGCCTGGCTGATTAATTGAGGCTCTTTGACCAAAACCCAACGTTGGAACTAATGTCCCTTCACATCGGTTGAATACAACAGTGCTGGTGGTCTTTCTGGTTTCTTGCAGTGGAAAACAGTTCCCGGTGCTAAAATCTCCCCAGTACTATGTTCCTAGTCTGAAGCCGTTTGAATCTCATCTGGTTTTGCTCTGTTCCAACCTCATCTGAGTGATTTTGACAGTAAAAGGAGCTGAAAAAACTCACCGTGGAGTATTTTCAGGAAACCTTCACTTCATAGTATAAACACACACACTATGATTAACAAACACTCTGGTGAATTAGCTCCTAACCCTTGATCCATCACGTCGTACATTCCCACACTGACAGAAGGCGTCCAGCACCAAACAGCTGATTCGTCTGCGCCTGACGGCGAGTTTGACTGACGGTGTGTTCTACAGGTTTCTGTTCCGCCTGTTGTTTTGATGACACACTGACACAGAGTGTTGCGTTGGCCTCGTCTCTGTGACACTGGGTTCTGTTTGATTAATCTGAATGAGCTCCTTAAGATGACAAGAGTACAACACGATGACGACAGCCTGTGTTCAAACCCTGACACGAGTGTCAGAGGAACAGTTCAGTCATCCCAAATATTGGGGTTGACTACCGCAATGACTCTATTGTAATTTATTCTGTTAAAGGAACAGTTCAAATCTTTATATTTTAGGTTTGTCCTGTTATGTAGTTTTACGATGCTGTGTCGATTATTTTTATTAACACTGAAGTATTAATTTAGCGTTGGTTCATTTCTGTGTTGCATTTAAATTTTTATTAACATTGAAGTATTAATTTAGTGCTGGTTCATTTTTGTGTTGTATTTAAACCTCCGACCACTAGTTGATTGTACAGAGCCAGCGGTATCAACATGTGGCTGTGGGAATGAGTGATAAGCTGCAGATGAGTGAGTCAGTCGGGCTGTACCATGTCCCGCAGGTGTAGGGGCCGGTGTTTCCTGCTGGGCTGGACTTGACCTGGTGAGACTGTGTGAACTGTCGTCCACCCAGAGTGGACTGCTGTCTCCACAGAAACGGTATCGCTGACACAAGGCTAAAGCAGCGACGACCCACATTCCAGTCGTGAATCACAAAACACACACTCTTACACAGACACACTCCCAGCTCCACCCACGTCCAATCGAAACTGTGCTCACACTAGTCTCTGTCAAACACAGTGGGAGGAGGAGGAGGGAGGAGGAACCAGTAATCTGGTTTAACCAGTTAAATATTTGGGACAGTATTTCATTTGTACTCGGCTCTGTTTATAGCATTTGTAATTAGAAGTGTAAGAAAAGATAGATACTAAATAATAGTTAACAAATACTCATTATATCATGTTGCCTATAGTATCACAGCATATGGCAACATACTGTATTGTTACCCCGTGTCGTGATACGTATCGTCAGATTCTGTGCAGTGATACGTATCATCAGATTCTTATCCTGTCCTATTGTGGTGATTTCTATTCTCTACACTACACCTGAAAGTCTTTTTCAGGAGCAGCTGTAAAACCAACAATTTCACTCCAGTTTCTGATTTTATTTTTTTTAAAAGTTTTATTTCAACATTTCAACATTATATCTGCATGTCATGGTCGTCATCATTAACAGTCATACTTCGGCAGCTCTGTAATGTGAACGTGTCAGAGAATCTCTGAGTGTAACTGCTGGCATGTTATTTCAGAGTCAGTGGATGTGATTGAAGTACCGTCATTGATCCGTCATGAACTCGGTGACGGTCAGTTCACTGTAGTAACAGCGGGTTCTCCTACATGTGTCAGACCCGGTGTGAGAGTGAGGCCATCAGAGGACGAAGACCGTGTAGAATTAATCTAGTTAAGAATGCTTTAGAGCTTCTCACCAGATCACCTCAGATCACCCTGGTCACAGTCTGTCGCCGCTGCTCTAGGTCTCACACACACACACACACAAACAGTAACCTGTAATAAGGGATCATATACTTTAGAATCTTTTGTACGTAAAAAAAACAACTTTAACAAAACACCCTGAACATGTCTAAGTACAACACAGTTTTTATTAGAGGATTTGACACCTGTTAGTAACCACTTATATAAATATATAATATAATATATATATTATATAATATAAATATGATTAAGAGTAGAAACAGTCTATCTACAGTCTATCTACAGTCTGTTGAGTATCAATAATACTAATAATAATAATAACGTTGGACGATGTGATGCTGACGTTCTCTGCCACAGAATCATATCAGAACATGTTGAGTATAAAATAAAAATATTCTAGTTGAACTACTTCATAAGGACAGAAACTGCAGCAGCCTGAAGTAAACACACATGTAGTGTTTATCATCTCTGCTATGTGTGTGTGCGTGTCCATGTGTGTGTGTGTGTGAACTAGGTTAGAATGCTGAAAACACTGCTAGTGCTAAGGTTTTATTTTGTGGGTTAGTAGGTGGGAGGAAGTGTGTCATTTGGTTCTAATTATAGGGAAATAGGAATTTCCTCGAAACAGAAGCTGCACTTAAACCCAAGTAAATCTGAGTCATTATCTCAGTGGCTTTCATTGTAAATCTGTGAGCACCAAATGGCGCAAATTACACGCTTACTTTAAAAAAAAATTGTCTCCAAATTTATTCTGAGACTTTCAGATGGCGTCGGGCCTTTAAGACACCGTGTCAGTGAGGCTGAGGCGTTGTTGCTGACGTAGATGGAGCGTCCAGGTCGGGGAATGATGGGAAACTTTCACTGTCACCCTGACGTAGTCTCCTTCCTGGCTCCGAGCCATTCCACAGGCAGTCGTAGCTGCTGAATTTTACCTTCAGACACAGATGAGAGACTTCTTTGGTTGATGAAATTGATGACCCACAAAGACTGGGTGTCAGGGATTGTAGGAAAAAAAAAGTTTAAAGAATTCTCAAAATCTTCAAATTCTTCCTCTGTTATCTTTTGGTTTTTGTTCTGTGTCTGTACTCCTCGACAGCAGTGTGTTTAAAACATTTACAGCTCAAAACCAGATGAGTTTGAAACTGCAGAAAAAAATGTTTAATTTGAGAGGTATACCATTTAATACTGGGTATATATGTGCTACAGGACTACGCTAATCCTGCTAACTACACAAATAAACACAGCACCAGGTCTAAGACTGTGTGGAACTGCAACAACTCTCTGGTTTCTTCTTAAGAGTTTTGATTATTTAATTTTATTTTAATTTTTTTTTTACAGGACTTGGAGTTCCATGGCGTGATGAGGTTCTACTTCCAGGATCGGGTTGCCGGCAACTTTGCCACCAAGTGCATCAGAGTTTCCAGCACAGCCACAACGCAGGACGTCATCGAGACGTTAGCGGAGAAGTTCAGACCAGACATGAGGATGCTGTCATCGCCAAAATACTCTCTGTACGAAGTTCACGTCAGTGGAGGTCAGTTCCTTAGAGTTCATTGTCGTGACCTGTTGAAGCGTAAAACAAAACAGTGAAACTGTACTGGCGTAGTCGGTCAACATGGTTGGCTAACTGATGTGTTTGTGCGTTTGTGTTAGCAGAGCGTCAGCTGGACCTGGATGAGAAGCCTCTCGTCGTTCAGTTGAACTGGAACAAAGACGACAGAGAGGGGCGGTTCGTCCTGAAGAACGAGAACGACATCCTGCCCAAGGTCAGCTGATCAGACTGTGCTAATGTTTACTAATTGGTCCAATCAATGTAGCTTTTCTTCCAGACTGGAGTATTAGTCACATCTTTCCAAAAAAAAAAAGACTCTAAAAAACTCTGTTTTTTTACCAGAAGAGCCAAAGTAATGGACCAGAGAAGGAGAAGGATGGAGTTATTCAGAATTTCAAAAGAACTTTGTCCAAGAAGGAGAAGAAGAAGGAAAAGAAGAGAGAAAAGGAGTTTGCCCGAGTCCCTGATGGAGATGAGCAAACACTCAGCCGGGAGGACGGGTAAAGATCTCACCCACACATTCATCATTGTCTCCTTCAGTATCCTCCTGGTCCTTGTCGACGGATAATCACAGGAGGCTTCAACCTCCTCCTCCTTTGTCCTCGTTTTTTGTCTTTCGTCGTCTCGTTTCACCTCACTCCATCTTTGTCTTACAGAGAAAACCGGCTGGCAGCAGAGGTCTACAAGGACATGCCTGAGACCAGCTTCACCAGGACCATCTCCAACCCGGAGGTGGTGATGAAGAGGAGACGTCAGCAGAAGCTGGAGAAACGCATGCAGGAGTTCATGAGCAGTGATGGGAGGCCAGACTCAGGTCCGTGAAGCTGTCAGCAGGACTTCATCAGTTGTGTTCACTGGTCTACTTCAGGCCTGTCACATTTTCATAGACAGTCTTACACGATGGTCAAGCTGTAGACGAAAGAACCAGAGTCAGATATGTGCTCACATGTGACCCATATATATATATGATTATTTATCACACTTCTTATTGTACTGTCCACTTCACTGTAGGCCACATCACTGCAGCCCGCAGCCATTTAAAAATATGTTATTGTTCTTACGCAGGAGGGACTTTGCGGATTTACGCCGACAGCTTGAAGCCCAACATCCCATACAAGACCATCCTGTTGTCCACCAGAGACACGGCCGACTTTGCTGTCGTGGAGGCGCTGGAGAAGTATGGACTGGAGAAGGAAAACCCCAGAGAGTACTGCATCGCCAGGGTAACAATAACTATTAGCCTAACTGCTAATGGTGTCTTTACGCTCTGTGGTGGAGCATGTCCGTCCATCATCATCATCATCATCATCTTCTAACACAGTCAGTGGTTTTCACATTGACAGTAGTGACTCCATTACAGCTGGACCAAGTTCAATTCCCTCCTTTTTGACTTTGAATATTTTCAGCAACCAATCAGAAGCCAGAGATTAGATAAACACAATTTCTAATAAGAAAAGATTCTTATGAAGAAATAGAAATGATAAAATAAAATAATTTTGTAACCGCACCAAACCTTCACCCTCTCATGTCTCCACCATACATGACCTTTAACCTACTATCTCATCAATAAACAGCCCTGTCATCCTTCGGAGAGGCAACACAGAGGTCGCTCAAGGTCACGGTCACAGGAACCTACGCATAATTTCTCACACGAACACACAAACCTCTGTCATACAGCAGACTGAAACAGAACGCTGCTGCTGCTGCGTCAGTGTGTGATGGTGATGAAGCTCCAGTCAGCCTCGTCCAACCAGAGCCACTCTCACGTGGACCATCATGTCCAGTAACACTGCAGTCATTATGGAGAAAACACACACTCACACGCACATGCACAGACTGTTGATAGTCAGATGCAATTTGCTGATGAGACCAGAGATGAAATGACATAAGGCTGAGCAATATCAAAAATATCATCAGCGCTGGTGAATGGAGCCTCACAGACGTCACTGTGTTTCTGTTATGTTTTGGTGAACGTAAAATTGTTCTTTTTAGCTGCATTTTTTGTTGTTCTGTAAATGTTTCCTTAATGTGTTCACATTCTCATATGCTAAACAAACCTACACATTGTCTTTAAATGCTGTAAATCTGACATTTGTAGTTTATTTGTTTTCTTAGGAAATATTTCTTTTCCATCAATCTTTCCGTTTCTTTGTCGTTGATTCTGCAGCAGGACGATAAATCAGGGAAGGACGTGATTTTGGACGACTGTGAGTGTCCGCTGCAGATCTTCAGAGACTGGCCCACAGACAGAGGTACACACACACACACTACATCACATGTAATTATCAGCACTTCACAGACTCTGGACCTGCTGTTGTGAGGGTGTGTTCTGCCCCCTCCTGCTGCTCTACAGTCATTACACCTCACCACTGCTCACACACTGATCAAAGTCTTGGACCTTAGAGTTACATTTGGGCTGTATGAACGGTGAGACTGCAGTTTGCAAACACATTAATTAAACATTTTTAAAAAATTCAATGTGAAAGAAAATTCTAAAAAAGTGACATCATGTTTCCCTTTTTCAAACTACACATCTATTTTTTAGTTGAACTTAGTTGTCTTACTGTGACTGTTCTGACCTTCCATCAGGGGCGCGGGTGTTCCAGCTGAAGAAGAGACCTCCTGACTACCAGGCGAGGAAGGGAAGGAAGTTGGATGACAAGGGAATCAGAGCCAAGGATGGTAGCACTTTACTGCCGCCCGAGAAACTGCCTTATCTGGTGGAGCTGAGCCCAGGTAAGACCCCCACCACCCACACCACGTCTGGGTCGTTGATATCGCATCCTCAGCATCCAGGTGTGGGAGTTAAATTAGCCTTTATAGTAGCAGCAGCAGCAGAGGAAGAGGAGAGTGAGTCAGTGGAGTGATACACACGGGCAGCAGCAGAGGAAGAGGAAAGTGAGTCAGTGGAGTGATACACACGGGCTAGATGTAGTTACAGTCAGTGACCAGCAGGCTCTGACACTGTCGCTCTGCTGAGGTGAGTGAATCACATTATGGTTCCCAGCTGTTCTGTGGTTTCTGCTGCTGCTACCAGAACAGCCACTGACACACACACACACGCACACACCAATATTCCGTGTGAAAAAGCCGCAGCAGGAGGAGAGAACTGAGGAACTCTATATTAGTTCCTGATGCTGTTTTGAGTTCTTGTTTTATTTATTTATTACTACTTCAGTATTTTAGCTGAAGTAGTTAGTATTAAAAGTTCAGGTCAAATAGTTTTATGGTTGTGTATTTTGATTTAAACATTTCTTTCTTCATCTTTGAACCTACACTGATTAAAGCGGTGTATTGAAAGGGTTGAAGGAGAAGAAGAAGACAGAGGAGAAATGTTTTGAATTATTATAATTGTAATCTACATTATTTACATTTTTATCTAATTATATTACATAATGTACATTATATACAATTACAGTTATTATACCTGCAGCTGCCACCCTCACCCTCTCCCCCGCCCATGTGAGGACCACACATCCAGCCCTAACAGCTCGTCTCCTGCTGCTCAGCCTTGTTGTTTTCTCCTCTTCATCTTCTTCCTGGTTTTTCTCTCCCTTTGTTTAATCATCGACTTCTCAGGTCTGATCATAGACTGTATATAAAACATGGACGCAGTGTTTTTGTTTACCGCTGAGGCAAATGTTTTCATCTGTCAACACAATCAGTCAACTCTGAGACATTACTCTGCTCTGTTGACTATTTTCATTTTACCCATTTAATTAGATCAGAATTTTGACGTTTAAAAATCCACCAAATATTATGTGGTCGCCCCCTGGTGCCTAAATGCTTCGTCCAGTATCTTATACATAGTCTATGGGTCAGATCATCTGTAACAGTGACATGTTGTTGGAGAAATGTACTAACACAGAGACCTAACACTGGGCCACTGTCTGTGGGAACAGGTCAAAGATTGAACTTCATAGTTTGCTTTTTCACTTTTGTGGAACACTGTCTGTGAGTGTGTGTGTTTGTATGAGAATGCGTGTTTTTAAGTATGGTTTAATTCTTTGTTAAGATCCAGATGATGAAGGTGTGATTTGATAGAGAGGTAAAAGACAAAATACAAAAAAAAAAAAAATGGATTCAAATGTTTACCTGCTACAGTCAGCTGGTATAATCCAATGACTTTGACTTCAGGTGATAGTGTGTGTTTGTTTATGTGTTGGTGTGTGTGTACATATTTGTTAATAACCGGTCAACAACGCTGCATTTATTTTCCTCCTCGCTGCATTTTTACCCATTGCTTTGTCTCTTTTTCTTTCCTGCTTTCTTATGTTGGGTGCATCGTGTGTGTCTGTCTGTGTGTGTGTGTGTGTGCTCGTGCATGTGTCCTCGTCCTCCTCCTCCTCCTTCCTCTGCACCCGCCTGCCTACCTACCTACCTACCTGCCTGTCTGCCTGACTAGGGAGAGGGAATCACTATGCCTACTACGCTTATCGGCACCATGAAGGTAACAACAACAACCACAATACTTGATCTGATCTGTGTGTGTTGCAATGTTGGATGGGAGAACTCTGGGGGAGTCCTGACTTGACCCACCCCCCAAAATATTCAAATATTGACCTTGTGTCACAAGTAAATTAGTGTCCTAAATTTTCTGTCAATTGCGTAGTTTTCCCGGCAACTTCCGTACGCCTGCCCTCTCTTTACTCGTTACATTTTTATAAAGCTGTTGAGTTGGGGTTTTTTTTTTGTTTGTTTGTTTTTTTTTACATTTTTTATAAAGCTTTTTTTATGGTCTTATGACCCAAAACCTCAGACCGTCTTCTAAAAGGTGTCATTAGCGTTTCCTTTAGCATTTTGCTCTTAGCTGTGGCTTTTCTTCAGTGAGCTAATCTGCTGCTTTGCTTTTACTAAACTGCCATTTACTAATAATCATTAACTGCACTTACGGCCACGCAAACGGTACAGACTTCAATGATGTCGGTAACACATGGAGTAGAGTAGGTTTTTTACATCATAGCAACAAGAAAATTCAATTTTCAAGTCTGTGGATTGTGATAGATATTATAAAGATTTTTTTTTTTTTTAAATAGTCCTTGGATCAAAGCTGCAATATTTAAAAAAACATAGTTTTGTCTGTGTTGGTCATTCTTTGAAATGTCAAAGGAAATATTACACAGCGAGTTGGTTACCAAGGTTGAATAGTGTCCATAGATAGCTCTACACACAGCCACAGCCTGACGAAGCAGGTCATGTTTTATTTTAACTGAGCCACAGTTTTTTTTATGGACCTGTTGCTCTGGTCGTTCCTACCCTCAGGCTAATTTAAAGTGTTTTGTTTTGTCCAGACGGCTCAGACTCCAGGGACAAACCAAAGCTTTACCGCCTTCAGCACAGCATCACTGAGGTCGGCTCAGACTGTACAGATGACGGAGCCATTCAGGTAAACACAGCCACGGGTAAAATTAGTTTAATTAGTTTCCTGTCAGTGTAGTTAGAGGCCAGAAAAGTTTCATTCACCACATAAAAAAATTGGAACAAGTCAGAGAAGCTAAAAGTTTCTGGGTTTGACTTAAGCACGATGAGAAATATGGGTTTGTGTTGGCAAGAATCTGGTTATACGATACATATCACGATACAGTGGCAAAAATAATATGTTGGAATACTATAGGCATGACGATATATGGAAGGTTTTATACTGAACTCTGTAATAATTCTGCAGCTGCTAGGTCCAGGGATCCTCCCACATCACTGTAACCTGATGCACAGCGAGGGCATGGTGACTGTGACGCCGCACGGACCCGACGCCGACACCTTTGTTGACGGCCAACGCATCTCTGAGACAACGGTGCTGCGTCCAGGCTCCACCCTGCAGTTCGGTTCGGCTCACGTCTTTAAATTTGTGGATCCGATGTTTGACCAGGGAGGGAAGAGAGATCCGACCGCCATGATGAGGAGCCGACACAAGGGGTGAGTGTCCTTGTCATCTCGGTTCCGACTTTTAAGAAAAGAATAACTGTGTTTTGGTAGGACGGGGGAGGAGAGGGTGAGGTTTGGAGTTTGGCAGGCTGTGTGAACGATGAAGGCTGTGAGGGAGGAGGAAAATCTGGGTTTGGGAAAACAAGGCAAATGAGAGGAGAGGCGGAGGTCTAGGGTTAAGGCAGACGGGCCGCCCTCTAATCTGATCAGCATGGTGTTGGGTGTGGCCTCCCGCTGCTGCTGCTGCTGCTGCTGCCGTTTCACACACAGTTAGTGAAAAGAAAGAAAAAAGCAAAGAATACGGCAGGAAGGATTTGGGATGTGGAGAGAAACAGAGCTTTGAAATCTGACTTTTTTGTAATGGGTGACTGACATCAAGGAAGGAGGCGAACGTGTGTAAGTCATTTAACCTTTGAACTTAAACTTGTCTGAGACTCAAACTCAGTTGAATAAGGAATGTTGACGGAGGCTGTTGGTGAGGAGCTGTGGATCACGTGTACGTTATTTTTGAGTTGTTGGGACGTGAAATCGCAGTGTGGTCCGTATATTCTTCAGGACCTGCTCCTCATCCACAAGTCATGAAAATTAGACAAGAAACATGTGAAAGTTCATCTAAGACTTGACCTAAATAACATTTGAATCTAAAAGACAGCCACAGGAGGTTGAATTAAGAAAAAGTTATTCATTAAAGTCTAAAAAGTAGCCAGAGGAATTATTTGGAAACATGTTTCAAAAGGTTTCATTCTTGAGAACAGGTGATTGACTCTCTTGGTGTCACATGTCTAAAAGTGTTGTTTATCTTCTCGTCTTATACAAAGTCCATTACGCCGTCATATAACTGTAGAACATTAAGCTCTGGGTTGTTTATTTTGTTGGTTTGATACAAATTTAGACAAAATGTCTGTGGAGTCACAAAAAGTCCACTCTGTGCGACTCTGTGTCACCTCAAGTCTGAAAAGTGAGTCTGACGTTGCGGATCTGGATCCCTGTGGTTTTCCGGGCAGCTCTCCAACGTTCAGCCTCACAGACATGTGGCGTTCTGTCAAACTGGGGACGACACATCGTGATGTTCACAGCCGCAGTTTGGCACGACGGCAGGTTCTTAAAGTCAAAGCAGATTTGGAACCAGGTTCTGGCAGATGAACGTGTTGCATATGAGTGTTTGGAACATTAATCTTCTGCCCAGGCTTAGTTGGACCATCTTTCTGAGAAAACACCCCAGAAATCAGGATCAATCAATCAATCAACAATATTTTTCATCAAACCTTTATTGTAGCAATTCATTGGACTGACAGAAAACTAAATAAGAACCTGTTGTTCAGAAGAAATATTTCTTCATTAACCACAATTGGTTCTGAAATACAAATGTATAAAAAGTGTACCACTTTTTCTCCCTAAAAAAATAAAATAATAGTCAGACAGTCATAGTTCAATGACAGAAAAGTCTGAGATGCCCAGAAGATGATCAAACTGGGAACGCGTTAGTCCTGATGGATATAAATCAAACGATGAGTCTGAAAGTTTCTGGTTTTGTTGACTGACGTTAATGTCATTGACTCATTGTTGCTAGTTAGTGGCTGTTAACCGGGTGGAGCTCCTGGAGAAACCATATTTTCTTTCTGGTGTTCCTTCTCAAACCTTTGGCTGTTATGTTATGATTTGGATCCATC